TGATTGGGGATGATGATCTTCCTGGAAACTAACCTAGAGCGTAAACCCAGTTTTAATCCAGACCAGTTCCCACCTCCGTTTGTCCCAGGTCCCCAAGGTCCATGGGTGGACGTGGCAGAGGGCGGCGAAACTGCAACCCCTGTTTAGTTTTGACTTGCTTACTGGAGACGTGCACGGGTGAGAAGCGAACGGGCAAGTCTTTTCTTGGAGTCAGAGGGATGCTCCTTCACGCCGGCGTGTTTTAATCCAGGGAAGTAATTGCACTCTGCAGTATTTTTGTGCTGTTTGTTTGCCCAGCGGTAAACTCCGCTCTGTTACGTCGCGCTTACGGCTTTAATTAACGGCTTTGGGCAGTAATAAATCAGGGTCAAGGCAAACCCTCTCGGTCTCCTCTTTTTTTTTTTTTTTTTAAATAAGAGAAGAATTGTCACGGAGTAACGCGTGTGCGTGTTTTCATCCTGAAAAGTGGCAGCCAGGAAATAAGGGATGGGGTTTAGAGCTGGTGCGTGCGTGGGGAAAGGGGTTTGAGGTGCGATCGGTACGTGCCTGAGGGTCCCGAGCGTTGCCACGGCCGAACCTCGGATGCCAGAGCCTTTTTTCCCCCCGGGGAGGCGCCCCAGCCACGGGTCTCCGACGGCGACGCTGCGGCTTCGAGTCGCTGCGGGTCTGAAGTCGGATGTCGGAAAATACCTCTTGGCCGACACGTTAATTCCTGTTAACGTGGAGCAGCTGTCCTGGCTCCAGCACTTGCAATAGCCACGTTTCCCAAAATAGATGTTTTTTGGGGGATAAAGATGTTCTCCTGTCCTGTGTCGCCTGTCCCTGCGTGAATCATGGCTGGCAAGCGAGGGTGGGCCGGTGTGGATCCGTCCTTGCTGCTCTGGTCTTGGAGCCTCCAAAGGGCGAATCCGCAGGAGTCGGTGAAAACGGAGCAGGAGCCTTGGCTCCCTCCTGGGATGCTTACTGGGGGGTTCTAGAGGTTGGACCCATAATGGTAATGGTTTTAGAGCGGGGTTGGTTCGGTGACTGAATTTCCTGAGCTGCTGCAGGAGCGGGACCAGACCAGTCCCTGGAGGACACAGGTTGCCCGTGGGCACTAAATTGTGCCCATGGGAAGGAGCTGGGGCAAGGGGTGGTGGTGCTGGAGGTGCCCGTTCCTGCTGCCTGTGGTCTCTCTGGTGTTTCTGGTGGCTATGCTGCCCGTGCTGTCGGTGGCCTCTTCTGGCCGTCCAGCACCATCTCAGCCTCTGCTTTAGAGCCAAGACCCCGCTGAGCATCTGCCCCCGCAGCGACACTGACACC